GTCCAGACAATGAGATTGCCAATGCGACCGGTAAGCTAATGTGTTTTTCATGAACAAGTTATACACCCATCTGCTGTCCTTGCATTTGCCCCAAAGAAATACAAAGAGTTGGAATACCACGTCAGAATTCTTCCCACCTTCAGAAAGTAATTGATTTACATATTCTGGAATAATCCTCCTAAAGTAGGAGTTCTCCACGCTGTAGTGTTCCTCTTGTGTTAGCAAGAACATGCAGAAGAGATAAATGACAGGAAGGCTGATGTGGGTGACATGGCGGGTGAAGCATCGCATAAAATAAGAACAGAACAACACATATGGAAGGGGCAGACGGACCATCCGAGCACTGAGTGCACCTCACAAAGTAGATCAGTAGGGGCACACTCAGCAAAGACCCTCGAGACGGGAGTGAAGGTGAAGGACAGTGCAGAGACTCTAAGACAGATTCTAAGGAATGGTGTCAGGTGGATTCTTGTGCAGGACAAGCAATATTATGAAGCACCAGGACGATGGTTCATAAGGATACTGACTGTGGTGTGTGTGTATGCGTGTGTGCGTGTGTGTCTCTGTGGGTGCGTGTGTGTGTACGTGTTGTGTGTGCGTTTGTTTGCATGTGTGTGTGTGCGCGTAAGTGTGCGTGTTGTGTGTGTGCGTGTGTGTGCATGTGTGTGTGTATACCATCTGTGTCCGTCCGTGCAGACCAACACTAGAGGTGACTTTTACTTTATACAAGGGAAAGAATGCTCATTCTCTCAAGCCCACTCGAGATCGCAAAAATGGGTTACTCTTTGAGAAACGTTAGTGTAGTGTGATTGAATCCTGCCAGGCCGCTTCAGCAAAATGAAGTTTGTGAGGCACTCTTCCAAAATATGTGCACACACACCCCAAAATAAGCAAAAGCACCTTCAGATATGTCCGCATCCGTGCACACCCCAGAATTCAGCGTGGTCATCTCTGATTTAGTCATGCTAGTAATGACGTAAGTACAGGAAAACTGAATTGATACAATCAGCACGTATCTGTGATTGAGGACCAAATGGCAGCAGAAGCCTCTCACGAACTTTACAAGAGAAGGGGCAGTTTTGAGTTCTAAATGAAGGCCATTGGCACAATGTCAATGGAAGCAGAGATGTCGATGCTAGAGTTAGAGACCGCACTGATGGAAGAGTGGCAAATATTACCTCTGCGACTGGACCTTCCACAGGAGGAACAAATCAACAGAAAAAAATAGCCAGCCGGAATTCACTGGAAGGGAGGTTGCTGGAGTGTGACCATTTTGAAATGATATTGCATTGAGAGGGCATCACTCAGGCTAATCCATGTGTTGGGAATTGCATTCAGTAGTGCCTGCATCCATGATTGATTTTAAAAAGGGTCATTTCTACCTACAAGCTCTGAGGTGTCGGGAAGCAAAGCTTTGAGCTGAGGCACGTACAGCCTTGAGAGATGAGATGTCCCAAGTCACATTGATTCCGTGTTGAAAGTCTTGTGCCACTTGGTAACTTGATGGAGTCATGCACAGACGGGAGAGCAGAGACTGAAACCAGCGGAGTGACAACGCATCCCCAAGGCTGAGAACACGTGAATGTGGAAACGCAACAATAGGCTTCCAGGCGATTGACACGTAGAATGCGATTCCAGGACAAGGTCCAGTGTGTTCCGTGGAGCAAGCATGCTAAGGGAGGCTGGCCTGACCCCCTTCTGTTGGTCTGGAAGGCGACCAGTTCCCTTACTCGTAGCGGTGTTCAATCAGTGTTGAGCCCTTGCCTGTTGCAACGCAGCTCATCCATGGGGAGACGCTCTGCTTTGAAAGATGTATGGATTAACAGAAAGTGAATCAATTGCACATTATCAGCACTGCAAACTGACAATGCTTCCCGCCCTTATTCCCCACACAATCTCCTAGAGCATTTCTGCCCATACTTGTCCCTAAATCTCATCAGGTATTTTCACAAACTGAAACTGGACTCCACCCCTCACCAGCCCATCCTATTAGAGTGGGGCCTCGGGTGTTTGGTTGAGTAGGCTGTGAGAGAGGGAGGGAAGTATGCTGTTCAGGTAAGGGAGGAGGAGGCTGCCTGCTCATGCCACACATGTGGATGAAACAAGAGTGCATGGCATACATAGGACCATGGGAGCCGCGAGCGCCAGGACTTCCCTTCCGAATTGGAAGAAATTATGAGCAGAGAATTCACAGGGTGAGTAACGAGAAAGTTCAGAGTCTAATTATCAACCAGCAAGAACTGAATCAGCAGGCCTCATGGAATTCAGTGTGCTCATCAGCATGCAGGCTACCTAGGGGCATAAAGGGGTGGTGTTTCCCACACAGTTTTGCAAGTGGGCATTACTATTTGCCACTCCTTCCTAATCCTTCTATGCAATGCCCCGTCTCCAACAACAGCTAGGACCTGTTCACCCGAATGGGCTCAGGGAGGGGCCTGTGAACCATAGAGAACTAACTGGAAGTGGGCTGAAGGCATCTCTCCTTTTCTCTCCAGATACGGAGCACTGTGTGACCTGTCCTGACCACCAGTATGCCAATGCAGAGCATGACCGATGCCTGGACAAGCGAGTGAGCTTCCTGGCTGCTGAAGGTCCCCTGGGGATGGCCCTGGCCTGCACGGCTCTGTCCCTCTCTGTCCTCACTGCTGCCATGCTTGGGCTCTTTGTGAAGCACAGAGACACGCCCATCGTCAAGGCCAATAACCGCACCCTCAGCTACATCCTGCTCATCTCACTCCTCCTCTGCTTCCTCTGCTCCTTCCTCTTCATTGGCCGTCCCAACACAGCCACCTGCCTCCTAAGACAAATCACGTTTGCCCTGGTGTTCACAATGGCTGTCTCTGCCGTGCTGGCCAAAACCATCACTGTGGTTCTGGCCTTCAAGGCCATGAAGCCTGGAAGGACCATGAGGCGATTGCTGGTGTCAGGAGCCCCAAACGCTGTCATTCCCATCTGCTTCCTCATCCAACTGACTCTCTGTGCCATCTGGCTGGCAACATCTCCTCCCTTTGTGGACGCAGATGCACACTCTGAGCATGGGCACATCATCCTCTTGTGCAACGAGGGCTCCATCACTGCCTTCTACTGTGTGCTGGGCTTCCTGGGCTCGTTGGCCCTGGGCAGCTTCACTGTGGCTTTCCTTGCCAGGAAGCTGCCTGACACCTTCAATGAAGCCAAGTTCCTGACGTTCAGCATGCTGGTGTTCTGCAGCGTGTGGGTGACCTTCCTGCCTGTGTACCAGAGCACCAAGGGGAAGGTCATGGTGGCCGTGGAGGTCTTCTCCATCTTGGTCTCCAGTGCGGGTCTCCTGGGCTGCATCTTTGTCCCCAAGTGCTACGTCATTCTCCTACACCCCGAGAAGAACTCTCTGAAAGCATTCAGGAATACTCGTTGTAAGAACAACTCCTGAGGCTGTCTCACACTTTTAGGATTGTAAACCGTAGCTGACACAACTGTGCCTCTGCTTCCTCATGCTATAGACTGAGGTGCCTTTAGCGCGTTAGTGATCATGTCTGTCCCTCTTTTGAAAAGCAGTTCAGTGTCGCAGTGTTCCCAGCCAGGCATTCAGAGATAGAAACACATCACTCTGCAGGCTAGACAATCCTCAGCCCTTTTTATTGCCTTCTGCCTTCCTCATTCCTCATGAAAAGCACTCATTATTTTTATCTTAATAAAATACATGAGCTCTCACTTCTCCCTGTTCTTTGATATTCAAGTGAAGTTTTGAGTCCCTGTGGTTCTTCTGGATGTAATATTTGTCATAATTAACATATACACATATAGCATATTGTCTGCAAACTCCTTTAAAAAGAAATGCCGTTATCACACTTTACTAATATTCTGGTTGCCAAGCACCAAATTTCATTACAAATGTTACAGTTCTAAAAGCACAGACTATTGTATGTTTTCATTCTGTTTATATTTATTTTAGATTCAGCATTTCTTTGGCCTACACTACCCTTAGGAGAACATTTCCCTATTCAGGTGACATCAACGATAATAACAACTCTTGGGTCATTTTAAGCTGCAGAAATTAAGACGTTGACAACCCAGACTGCGTTGTGTAAGCGTCACCTGTATCTAGTTGTGAAAAGTTTTCTTGTCCCTTAAGCTGTCACACTTTTTGTGCTTTTGTCACTTGGCCACTGCTCCTTTTTCCATGCTGTGATTTTAACTGTACCAAGTATTTCCTGTCAGTGCCACCCAGCGCTGTGTGACCAACAAGGTTGGCCTTCTTTCCTTTAGCGTCCTGTCTTCTGGTGTCATCCAGATGGTACCAAGCCATCTCTTTGTGGCCTACTTTCGGTTGCCTAGGAACCACTCACCTGTTCCCCATTCATATACAAATATTACAGAGAAGACAGTCCTAGCTGCGTAAGAAAAAAAAAAAAAAATGATGGAGTAGATATTCCTCGTTCCCTGGAGTAGAAGTAGAAACAGGACCCTGAGAGTGGAGATGAAGTCCAGCGGGAGGTTATACTGCACACATCACTGAGCAGAGCAGAGGCATTAACATGGGGGTGACACACGGGGGAACAACAGAGAAGAGAAAAACAATGGATTTGTAGAATACCAGTTTTGCAAATGGCTGGAGCTGCAGCACGTATTCTATCTGTTGGAGTAGTAAAATGCATGACAATTTTTTTCCCCAGTAAACGTGCAAAAAATGTTATTCTGATTAAAGTATGTCAGGTAGGAAAATTATTTCTAAGATGCCATGGCATCTTATGATTTTTTACAAGGTTAAAAATTTAGAAATAGAAATTACCAAATAGAAATTACCGAAGGGTCAAAGCTGTGAGATCACAGACAACAGAAAGCTCAGGAAGTGAGTGGCCGAAACTGTTTGCGAGGCTGAGAGCTCACAGGAAACACGAGCAAATAAGCAAAGGACAAAATTCTACATTCACTACTGGATGCAAGAATAAGAATTTCTGTCTCAGAATTTTCGGTTTGAAATCACTGGTATTTCTTCAGACCCGAAGCAATGAATTGTCCATTTATGGTTTCTCTGCTAGAGATCTTTTCAGAACCGTCTTTATGTCCTTATTCCTCAGGCTGTAGATGAAGGGGTTCAGCATGGGGGTGACCACGGTGTACATCACCGAGGCAATGGCAGTGGACTGTGGGTTTTGGGTAATGGCAGAGCTAAGGTACACACCTAGTCCTGTGCCATAAAATAAGGAGACGACAGAGAGGTGAGAGGCACAGGTGGAAAAGGCTTTATACTTGCCCAGAGCTGAGGAGATGGCCCGGATGGAGGACACGATCTTGCAGTAAGAGTAGAGGATCCCAGCCACGGGACCTCCTCCCAGCAGCACAGATACAATATAGATCATGAGGTCATTAAGGAAAGTATCAGAACAGGCGCTGTGGACCACCTGATTCAGTTCACAGAAGAACTGGGGGATTTTCAGGTGTGTGCAGAAGCTCAGCTGCAGCACCATGAAGCTTTGCAACAAGGCATGCAAGACACTGATGGTCCAGCACACCAGAACCAGCTGCACACAGAGCTGGGCGTGCATGATGACCGTGTAGTGCAGGGGGTGACAGATGGCTACAAACCGGTCATAGGCCATCGCAACCAGAAGAAAGCTGTCCAACTCCACAAAAACCAAGTAGAAGAACATCTGTGTGATGCAGCCCACGTAGCTGATGGCTCTGCTCTGCGTCTGGATGTTCACCAGCATCTTGGGGACGGTGGTGGAGGTGAAGCAGATGTCCACCATGGACAGGTTGGCGAGGAAGAAGTACATGGGTGTGTGGAGGTGTGGGTCAGAGAGGATGGCCAGGACGATGAGCAGGTTCCCACTGACAGTGACCAGGAACATGCAGAGGAAGATCCCGAAGATGAGAGGCTGCAGGGCTGGGTCCTCTGAGAGTCCCAGGAGAAGGAATCCTGATGGCTGTGTTTCATTGCCTGGTGCCATTGTTTGACATGCCTGCACAAAAGAGACATCACGAATGATTTTCCAAGAATCATGACTCACAACGTCAAGTGCTGCAATTTGTACTCTGCTGACAAAAAATGGTTTCTCCAACTTATTATTGACCTGAGCCCATTTGGGTTTTTCATGCACTGAGTGAGCCTTCCTGCACACACAGCACTGGCTGCAAAATTCGTGCACCTGTCACACTCTTTGATTTAGAGTTTTGGCGCACTTGAGTGATGTATATTTCTGACTGTGTTCCACTCAATAAGCCTCCATGTTACAAAGAAACATCTCCTGCATCCCCACGAGGAACCCAAAGCTATGGATGGAAAGTAGCGTGAAGAGTGCTGTTATCTAACAGGTGTCCAGCTGGGACCAGAAAACACCATTCCAGTTCAGAGACCAAGAACCACAGGTGAGCTGTGGAACTGTGGACCTTGTGGGGAGCTGATCCACACGGAGTCAGCGGGGACACGGAGACCGCAAGGGAACATGTCGGGGGACAGCAAGGATCAGGAGGATGTGGCGAGCGATGCGGAATGGACTCAGAGGAGGAGGAGGACCAGGGTGCTGTTTCTGAAAGCGAAATGCCCCGAGCTCATTGCCCACAGCAGGAGCCTCTTGCAGCGTATTCCATTTTATGGATTCTTTGTATTTTAGTGTTAGTTCGCTGTTATTAAAAAGAGCAGTACTGTGCCTTTTGTAGGGCTGCCTGTGCACATTGTATATATTGAATCAGTCCAAGAAGGTATCGCTGCATCCTTAAACACGGACTAATTCTTTGTGGTGAAAGCATGCAAAATTCTATTCTGTTGTCTGTTAAGAGTCAAAACGCTCAGTACTTTATCATTGTTTGCACTCAGCCTCCTGTGCAACAGAACCCTAACCTTTCGACTCTGCGGCTTAGGAACCAGCCTTCTACCGCCTCATGTCTCCTTCCTCATCCCTTTTCCATCACACTCTCCGTTTGACACCATTTTTCTTTCCTATTTTTTTTTTAAAGGTATCTAGTCCTATGAGATGAATTCCTCCCAAATGCATTTGGTGATGTACTTGTGGTCTTGTTATCTGAAATAGCGCCAGAAATCATCGCTATGGAACGAAATGGAATGCAATGAAAAAAAAAATAAATAAAACTATTTTACTTTAGGAAAGCAATGGCCTATTGACACTGCAGAGGTAAAGACTTAGATTGCAAAGATTTTAGCTAAAAAGAATAGAACAATAATCTTTGAAAATGAGAAAAGGAAAGAGATACAGGCTAACACTTCACTGGTGCTGTGAGGGTGCCTCCAAATTGGTCCTGGGTGGAAATACAATGTTGAGTTAAAGATCAGAACAAATCCCAAAAGACTGTGAGAGTGATGCAACTGTACCCTGAGGAATAAAGACACAACGACACTAGGGACGCGAAAGGAAAGAAGGCCAACCTTGTTGGTCACACAGCGCTGGGTGTCCCTGACAGGAAACACTTGGTACAGTTAAAATCACAGCATGGAAAAAGGAGCAGTGGCCGAGTGACAAAAGCACAACAAGTGTGACAGCTTAAGGGACAAGAAAACTTTTCACAACTAGATACAGGTGACACTTACACAACGCAGTCTGGGTTGTCAACGTCTTAATTTCTGCAGCTTAAAATGACCCAAGAGTTGTTATTATCGTTGATGTCACCTGAATAGGGAAATGTTCTCCTAAGGGTAGTGTAGGCCAAAGAAATGCTGAATCTAAAATAAATATAAACAGAATGAAAACATACAATAGTCTGTGCTTTTAGAACTGTAACATTTGTAATGAAATTTGGTGCTTGGCAATCAGAATATTAGTAAAGTGTGATAACGGCATTTCTTTTTAAAGGAGTTTGCAGACAATATGCTATATGTGTATGTTAATTATGACAAATATTACATCCAGAAGAACCACAGGGACTCAAAACTTCACTTGAATATCAAAGAACAGGGAGAAGTGAGAGCTCATGTATTTTATTAAGATAAAAATAATGAGTGCTTTTCATGAGGAGTAAAGAAGGCAGAAGGCAATAAAAAGGGCTGAGGATTGTCTAGCCTGCAGAGTGATGTGTTTCTATCTGTGAATGCCTGGCTGGGAACACTGCGACACTGAACTGCTTTTCAAAAGAGGGACAGACATGACCACTAACGCGCTAGAGGCACCTCAGTCTATAGCATGAGGAAGCAGAGGCACAGTTGTGTCAGCTACGGTTTACAATCCTAAAAGTGTGAGACAGCCTCAGGAGTTGTTCTTACAACGAGTATTCCTGAATGCTTTCAGAGAGTTCTTCTCGGGGCGTAGGAGAATGACGTAGCACTTGGGGACAAAGATGCAGCCCAGGAGACCCGCACTGGAGACCAAGATGGAGAAGACCTCCACGGCCACCATGACCTTCCCCTTGGTGCTCTGGTACACAGGCAGGAAGGTCACCCACACGCTGCAGAACACCAGCATGCTGAACGTCAGGAACTTGGCTTCATTGAAGGTGTCAGGCAGCTTCCTGGCAAGGAAAGCCACAGTGAAGCTGCCCAGGGCCAACGAGCCCAGGAAGCCCAGCACACAGTAGAAGGCAGTGATGGAGCCCTCGTTGCACAAGAGGATGATGTGTCCATGCTCAGAGTGTGCATCTGTGTCCACAAAGGGAGGAGATGTTGCCAGCCAGATGGCACAGAGAGTCAGTTGGATGAGGAAGCAGATGGGAATGACAGCGTTTGGGGCTCCTGACACCAGCAATCGCCTCATGGTCCTTCCAGGCTTCATGGCCTTGAAGGCCAGAACCACAGTGATGGTTTTGGCCAGCACGGCAGAGACAGCCATTGTGAACACCAGGGCAAACGTGATTTGTCTTAGGAGGCAGGTGGCTGTGTTGGGACGGCCAATGAAGAGGAAGGAGCAGAGGAAGCAGAGGAGGAGTGAGATGAGCAGGATGTAGCTGAGGGTGCGGTTATTGGCCTTGACGATGGGCGTGTCTCTGTGCTTCACAAAGAGCCCAAGCATGGCAGCAGTGAGGACAGAGAGGGACAGAGCCGTGCAGGCCAGGGCCATCCCCAGGGGACCTTCAGCAGCCAGGAAGCTCACTCGCTTGTCCAGGCATCGGTCATGCTCTGCATTGGCATACTGGTGGTCAGGACAGGTCACACAGTGCTCCGTATCTGGAGAGAAAAGGAGAGATGCCTTCAGCCCACTTCCAGTTAGTTCTCTATGGTTCACAGGCCCCTCCCTGAGCCCATTCGGGTGAACAGGTCCTAGCTGTTGTTGGAGACGGGGCATTGCATAGAAGGATTAGGAAGGAGTGGCAAATAGTAATGCCCACTTGCAAAACTGTGTGGGAAACACCATCCCTTTATGCCCCTAGGTAGCCTGCATGCTGATGAGCACACTGAATTCCATGAGGCCTGCTGATTCAGTTCTTGCTGGTTGATAATTAGACTCTGAACTTTCTTGTTACTCACCCTGTGAATTCTCTGCTCATAATTTCTTCCAATTCGGAAGGGAAGTCCTGGCGCTCGCGGCTCCCATGGTCCTATGTATGCCATGCACTCTTGTTTCATCCACATGTGTGGCATGAGCAGGCAGCCTCCTCCTCCCTTACCTGAACAGCATACTTCCCTCCCTCTCTCACAGCCTACTCAACCAAACACCCAAGGCCCCACTCTAATAGGATGGGCTGGTGAGGGGTGGAGTTCAGTTTCAGTTTGTGAAAATACCTGACGAGATTTAGGGACAAGTATGGGCAGAAATGCTCTAGGAGATTGTGTGGGGAATAAGGGCGGGAAGCATTGTCAGTTTGCAGTGCTGATAATGTGCAATTGATTCACTTTCTGTTAATCCATACATCTTTCAAAGCAGAGCGTCTCCCCATGGATGAGCTGCGTTGCAACAGGCAAGGGCTCAACACTGATTGAACACCGCTACGAGTAAGGGAACTGGTCGCCTTCCAGACCAACAGAAGGGGGTCAGGCCAGCCTCCCTTAGCATGCTTGCTCCACGGAACACACTGGACCTTGTCCTGGAATCGCATTCTACGTGTCAATCGCCTGGAAGCCTATTGTTGCGTTTCCACATTCACGTGTTCTCAGCCTTGGGGATGCGTTGTCACTCCGCTGGTTTCAGTCTCTGCTCTCCCGTTTGTGCATGACTCCATCAAGTTACCAAGTGGCACAAGACTTTCAACACGGAATCAATGTGACCTGGGACATCTCATCTCTCAAGGCTGTACGTGCCTCAGCTCAAAGCTTTGCTTCCCGACACCTCAGAGCTTGTAGGTAGAAATGACCCTTTTTAAAATCAATCACGGATGCAGGCACTACTGAATGCAATTCCCAACACATGGATTAGCCTGAGTGATGCCCTCTCAATGCAATATCATTTCAAAATGGTCACACTCCAGCAACTTGCCTTCCAGTGAATTCCGGCTGGCTATTTTTTTCTGTTGATTTGTTCCTCCTGTGGAAGGTCCAGTCGCAGAGGTAATATTTGCCACTCTTCCATCAGTGCGGTCTCTAACTCTATGCATCGACGTCTCTGCTTCCATTGACATTGTGCCAATGGCCTTCATTTAGAACTCAAAACTGCCCCTTCTCTTGTAAAGTTCGTGAGAGGCTTCTGCTGCCATTTGGTCCTCAATCACAGTTACGTGTTGATTGTATCAATTCAGTTTTCCTGTACTTACGTCATTACTAGCATGACTAAATCAGAGATGACCACGCTGAATTCTGGGGTGTGCACGGATGCGGACATATCTGAAGGTGCTTTTGCTTATTTTGCGGTAAGTGTATGTGCACATATAAACTTTATTTTGCTGAAGCGGCCTGGCAGGATTCAATCACACTACACTAACGTTTCTCAAAGAGTAACCCATTTTTGCGATCTCGAGTGGGCTTGAGAGAATGAGCATTCTTTCCCTTGTGTAAAGTAAAAGTCACCACTAGTGCTGGTCTGCATGGACGGACTCAGATGGCACACACACATGCACACACACACGCACCCAC